CCTGCCAATACCACTTCAAGGCGCCGCCGGAAACCAGAAGGTGAAAGTCCGTGAAAAGCTGGAAGAAAGAGATTTTGTTCTGGTCACGCAGTTTTTCGACGCGGAATAAAAAGCTCTCTACACTCATGCCCTTGCTTGTGCCATCGAACTTAATATGCCACTTCTCAAGATCAATTTTCTTCCACCTCGGTGGCTCACTCGAAACCTGCTCACACCTTCGGCAGTTCCCACTATTACTCTGCTCGTCACCACAAACCCCTGCTTCTTTTGCTCGTCCTCTGTCCTCCGGGTTGATGCCACCGTTGAACGATTGCCCAGTGCTTGAGCGGACGTTTCCATTTCCGTGACTCGACCGCTGAGATTCGCAGCATTCTCTCTCATGTGCCGTACCTCGTTCATGCACTGCGACATCATTTCGTTGTGTTGCATCATCATAGCCGTTAGCCGGCTCAGTTGCTCAATGCTTGTCGCAGTGCTGGCAGGCTCACTCCTCTGAGTTTTTGAACCACCAGCCTCCGAGTCCCTGGGCGGATCGCTCCCCGTGAGGTCAATGCCCCCCATCGCTCCTGGATCTCCGTCTTGGGACATCTGGCACAACAAATCAAATTTTTGGGAAAAACTAAGACTCTCGCTTGATTGCGAAATCGATATCTCGTTAGTGATAGCTACGCGGTTCTGTTGTTCAGATTCGATAGCCCCAAAAACTCTACTAGCGCACCTATTAAAAAAATCGGATGGAATGAAATCCACTGGACGCTCAATTCCTGTCGCTGGGGTACGTGCGTATAGCGCTAGTTTGCACCTTTTACATTAGCAAGGAGTATGCGGCGTATCCCTCGTATGCTAATCCTGGAGGTCCTTTTGCGTTCCTTCTGCTGGCGAACTGAAACACCAAAACATCTTTTTAGCACTTTTCCTAAGGTTTCATAGTTCTGCTTATACATGTTTGCAGGCATACATACATCCGAACATACATATGCATCTACGCATTTACGCTTGCCTGTAAACATGTATCCATGTTAAGTCTAATGCCAGTGGCCCTTTCATTTTTTTTCTTCATTCTATTGAAATATTTAAACTTACCTCCAATTCCAACTTGTTTAGCTCCTCCACTTGAATATGGGGCAAGACTCAAATCGTCGGCGGTATCGCAAACCGCTTTATCACGGCACCGATTCACTTCTTTAAAAAAATTACTTTTCTTTTACTTAGCACTTCCGCACGTTTACTCTTGCTACGACACCGATTTAACCGCTGCCCGTCACCACTATCTTTTGGATGCCGTTTTCCGCCTCCAGGGCCTTTTATAAGGGTGAATTAGCCGAACACTTTTCACTCAAATAAACCGCAATTCGCACCGAAATCCCATTGCCAGTTATCGCATTCACACGCACACACCTACACCACTCATCAGGACACATGTTGCTAGCGCTACATGATGGGCGACTTTTTATACAATGTTGCCGGCATTTATGCGACAGCATGGCTGCTTTGCGTACACACACACACTGACAATCTCCCTTCCGTTCAAGTGCAGGCGTGCGTATCAGGTACTGAAGTGGCGACAATAAGCACAGTAAAATAATATAAAGTGTGCTAGCTAGCAATGATATTCTATTTCGGTACACTTATTTGGTAATTTATTATCATAATTATCATAATTTTTTCTTTCATTTGACAAGTTTTTAGTGAGAACTAACTGATTTGAGAAAAAAAACATGTCAAGAAATTTTTGCCGCTGTGCAAAAGCACACATAACGTTGCAGTACTGATGTTTTCAGTCCCTCGGGATCAGTTCGGACGGTCAAATTGTTCGGCCGAAATCGGTCGGCCTATCGGATGCAATGTGCGCCTAGTGTAATAGTACATAAATAGTGAAATTTTCACATTTAGAATATTTACTAGAGCAAAGAGTTTGGAAGCATATAAAATAAGTTTATTATGTACAGTGTAAATTGCACACAAAAGTCGATGCATCGAAAAAAATACATCGATATATATCGGAAGATCCAACAGCCTAATCATGTATCTCGAAGCGAACGTTCGTTTCGTCTGCCAGACGTTTCGTTCGTGTGTTGGTAGTATGTAAGTCGAAATCGTCTGGCAGCACGAAAACAGCTGATCGTTACGTAGTTTTCGTCTAGTTTGGAATTTTTTAACTTGGTTTAAGGAAATATATTAATATTTATGCTTGTAGCGCTGAAAAAAACTACAACCACTCAATTTGAAGTACTGGTAAAAGAAATGGAGAGAAATCCTGACCTGCCTAGAGGTGTTGCAGTGTTTGGATCTGATCGAGGAAGGGTAGAGGAGCGGTGGGAGGAAATTATGAGGAAAATTAATTCTCATGGTCCACCTACAAGAACGGCCGTCGAATGGAAGAAAGTAAGCATAAGTGCATAAATTGTATGTGGTAGATAAATGCTTTCGCACTATTTCCATTTTACTGACATTGAATTTTATTTTATTTTTATTTTTCAAAATATGGGCTGACTTGAAAAGCCGGACAAAAAAGAAGATTGCCGAAAACACACGAAGCCTTACTGCTACCGGTGGTGGCCCATTCCGTCACTCTCCGCTTTCCGAAATGGAGCAGGCCATAGACAGCCTGGTTTTTATTTCAAGGTCAGCAGCCCCGAGCGGCAGAGTTTTAGGCATTCCTTCGACGGCGACCTCTAACATGTCAAGACATTCGTCGTTGGAGGAAATGCCTGAATCGCCAACACTTGACCAACGAAGGCAACAAACAACCACCCTTCAATCTCCTATAAGGCACAACCAACCACCACCAGTGGGAGTAGTGACTCCCACTACACAGACAACCCGTCCTACACCAACGCACACGTTACGTTCCACTAATAGGAAGCGCACCTTCCAAGAGACAGTGGCTGAATCTGCCAAAGTCCAAGCAGACGCCGCTAAAGTGCAGGCTGAGGCTGCAAAAAAAAATGGCAGAGGCATCAATGCTGCAGGTGGATGCAACAAACAAATTAACTGCTGCAGTGGAACGCCAATCTGCAATTTTTGAAAAATTTTTGGAGTACTTCCGGAATTATTTTTAATACCACTATTGTGAGAGTATTGAAGTGATATTTTGTTTTTTTTTTTGTGTAAATATTTTTTAGATTTAAGTGTGAATTGATATTTTGTTGCATTTACTTAGTTTATATGTAGAGTTAGGATTTAAGACTGAAAAGATATTTTGTTGAATTTTTATGTAAATATTTTATTAATTTTAAGACAAATGAATTTTGCTGGTGTACCTGAAATCTAGACACACATACTTTATAATAAAACTGCGTTTATAACAAACTCTCTGCTATTCTCATTCTAATAAGGGCAGCTGTATTCGAAATGTTACTGTTTTCAAGTTCTTCTTTGTAACTAACAAGATTCTCCATATCTGGGCTCTCCAATGGAATTTGATGTTTGAAAAATATACAAACGTTATGAATAGCACAGCACACATTTACAATTTGGCTGCGTTTCTTTATACATTCCGGATAATCCCATTTCACAGCCGGAATAAACAGAATGCGTTTGAAATATACGTCAACATATCATCAGGAACGTTCTAAAGAATAAATAAACAGAAAAGTTTATACCAAACGTTCAGAATGAATAAAGAAATTCAGCCTTTGTGTAACTTTTTCTGGTGAATAATGTAGCCTTCTCGAGCCAATTATACATCGAAATCGATTTTTCAAAACACCGAAACATCTCTCAATTACATTACGAGCTTTCGAGTGCTTTGTGTTGTAAATTCGTCGAATTTCATGTGCTGCGCTTCTGAATGGCGTCATCAAGTATGGCTGCAAGGGGTAACCAGAATCATCTACAAAAACTTTCATTGTCAGTAATAGTTTGATAGCCTTTTTAAGTTTTAAAACTTACCGAGTAGCCATGTGTTGGATTTTCCATTGTTATAATCAGATTTTAGCTCCTGTTCTGCGTGACTCACATTCCAAACAAATGAATCATGATTCGCCCCTGGATGCCTAGCGTCAACAAATGTGATTACCATGTTGTGATCGCAGATCTGTAAGGAAACTCAGTTTGTGTATATGTATACTTGTAAAGATAGTAAATCATTAACCTACCGCCATTACATTAAGACTGTAAAAACCCTTGCGGTTGAGGTATAAATAGTGGTTGTCACTTCCTGGCGACTTAATACGAACGTGTGTTCCATCAACACAACCAATAACCCCAGGTATTCCGTATTTCTCAAAGAAATATTCTTTAACTGCATTTTCCTCATCGATGTTTCTCCTAAAATTCACCCATTTCTGGCAAAAATGGTCCTCAAAAATATTTAGGCATTCCCTGATCACGTTGGCTGCAGTTGACTGCCCCATCGACGAAATATTTTCGTTACCAACAGATTTTTGGTAACTGCCGGTGGCGAGAAATCTTAAAAAAGTCCCGAGTTTTAGCTGGTGCGATAGGTGGGTGCTTCTATGTGATGGAGCCATGTGCTCTTTTAATTCGTTTAATATGTATTGGAATATTTCTTTATTGATTCGGAAATTTGCAACAAATCTAGAAACGAATACATTGTAGCATACAAAAATGATTTGCTAATCTTGAACTTACTCAGTCTCAGGTAGTTCCATTACATTGGTGTGGTCTCGCAATCTCCTCCTCTGTATCCGCCTTTCCCTTTCTTCGGATTCCTCGGCGTCTATTAGCGCTATAGCAATACATTTATAAAAATTTATTTTCCTTATATTTCTTTCCGCAACACAACCAAAACACTTTTAAGCAAAACCAAAATGTAAACAATTCCGATGTTGCCGATTTAAAATAAAATGCATTGAAATAAGCTATTAGAAATCTAAGAAAAACTCTTTGGAAGTACATCAAAATTTCATCCGGCAACATCATACAACGTAACCGAGACGATTGCAACGTAATCGACGTAAAGACAAGACGAAGACGAACGACAGAGTTACAAAAGCAATCCGTGACGATATCGCCTACAGACGAATCGTTCGTGCGGCCTATCGTTCGAGATACATAATAAGGCTGCCAAAGCATCGGTTTTATTCGATGCATCGAATATCAAACATCGATGTTTCTGATGCATCGATATTTTTTCTGAATCCTTCACTTGACGTTTCCTGCTGTCGAATACGGTCGGTGTTACAGTAGCTACACACGACGAGCATATCCGCGCACATGCGCGGCTTGCGGGTCATGCTCGTCGTTTGTAGCGTGGTTTGCGAGCATCGCATTGGAAACAAAAACAACAACCTCACTTTGTGTTGATGCTTGCAGTGTGCACATCGCGGATAAATGCATCCAAGCCATGTGCGTTAATTGAATTTTTGATAAATGAGGCTAAATTACTATATGTATATGTATGTACATACATATAAGTAAAATATAAATAAATTTAAGTAACACATACATAAAAAACCCTAAGTCATAAGTATTTCAATTGCATCATCCGCGTCTTTCCTTTCCATGTTTACGCTTTGAGTACAAAATCACTTATGAGCCGCTCGCCGTCTGTAGCAAACGACAGCGAGCATGTTGGCGCACATGTGCGCGGATATGCTCGTCGTGTGTAGATACTGTTATGCAGACAAACTTTTGTTTGGCAAATTAAATGGCGGCTGCTTACGGCGCGTTTACATTAGACAATGAAGACAATAAAGAAACACGTATGAGTTGTCAAAACGCTGATAATTGTATCCGTGGCGTAGGCATCCTAACAATAGTTAAGACAATTCATTTTGAGCAAAATGTCGAACGTGAACGTTGAATTATAAGTTGCAGAAATCCGCATTTCGCCCGAGCTATTTAACTTAGGGTTTACACCGGACAATATTGTCAAGACAATTATGTCAAAATTATGTGTTTGTTGTAAACAAGGCGAATTCATATTACAACAAACACATCATTTTGACACAATTGTCTTGACAATATGGTCCGGTGTAAACCCTAAGTAAGCTAAAAACTAAAAAATAATAAAGAAGAGACAAAATTATGGGCTGTTTTTGCTTACGCGTAAAAGCACATTTAGCGCGTTTAGCTCTAAATGCTACTCTAAATGTACATACATACAAAATTCGTCACCTAAATGCAACTAAATGCAACTCCATTTTTGCACTAAGAATCTAAATGCTAAGAGCGACCCTGTGGTCAGTGTTGCCAGGTCTTCGGCATGAGAAAACGTCCCTCTTGGTCTGAAAAAACCTCATTTCGTACCCAAAAACGTCTTTTTCAAATGTATGCACTCAGAATTGTTCTTATTAAACTTTTATTGTATACAAAGGTACACAAGTATATATGTAAGGTATATTAAAATGTCATTTCGACAGAGCACATTTAAAATTCATTGTAAACTGGTTTGAGATCGTTAATATAAAAAAAATTGTATAAATATCGTCGTTTAAAGTACAAAACCGCGTATCGTCATTCTGCAAACCGCGTAACTGACATTGGCTGCCAAAAATTTGATTTGCTCACACAATCTCTTGGCTCAATCCGTATCCATTCGTCCTGAAATATACTAGCCAGAAATGCGATTGCTTTATAAAAAAGAGAACCATTTTGAAATATGAGTGTTTTTACCCTCTAGAAAATAATTTCTACAACTTCACATACGCGGTTTTGCATTTTGTTGATACGCGGTTTTGCACTTTAAACGACGATATGTACACTTGTGATCACCTGATTAAGTCATCAATATTTTGTTCGATTGTGGCTGATTTTCTTTTGTTTATTTAATGTTTATTATTTTTCCATAAAAGCCTAGCTATAAATCCACATTTCAAACTTTGTGCAAAAATTATAAAAAAAATCTGCAAAGTTTCAGCTAGATTTTCAACTTTTTATTCAGATTTTTAAGAATTTTTTTGAGTATGCAGTTTGATAGCCCTTTATTTTCCAGGGTAATAATGTCCAAGTTTTAAATTGCTAAAGAATCGCGTTGATTTTTAATATTTTTTTACTCTTGTAGACATTTGGTTAGGTGGTCGGTTGTTGAAAATGCTAAACTACGTTCTGCTAAGAAGGAGCATAGCAATATTTCAGCCTTTTTTGCGCTCATTGCATTTTCAATGAAGTCTTAAAAAAGTCGCTTACTTTTTTCTAACTTTTTATGCTGCTACAGCTTTTTTGGTGCTTTTGCGAACGTGCGTTTTGCAATAGATGAGCTCTTCCTGATTTGGTTTTTAATGTGCAATTGCAATCATTGCAATAAGCCTCGTAACCTCAAGTGTTTACAAAACCAGCCTTTGAAAGCGGGATCCTTAGTCCCAGAATCAAAAAAAAAAAAATGCGCGCTCGCTTGGTTTGCATCGTATTTAAGTCATTTGCGTCCAATGGATATATACCTTTTGAAGAAACTGCTGCAAAAAACAAAGCTTGTAAAGAGTTATTAAGAAAATAATTCGAAATCAGTTCTACTTACAAGATTTAGTAACAGAGAAAAATTACTGGGAAGTTAAAAAACGTCATTTTTTGCACAAAAAACGTCCGAACGTCAACAAAATACAAACAACTTCCAAATGATGATGGAAATCTGGATCAATTTATGATCAACTCTGATTGTTTTGTTTCCTAATTAAGTGAGGAAATTTTAATTAACATTTAATTTTCGGTTATGGTTAAAACAATTCAAGATTTAAAATTGAATTTTTGGTTTAAAATTTATTTTTTCCTTTTCAGTAGGGTTTTTTGCACATTATCTTTTCCGTGAGAATTGATTGTAATAGATACGGATCTGAATAAGCGACTGGAATACGGCTGTTTGTCAAAAGCATACGATTTCGAACTCGCGTAAATGTACATTTGCTAAATGCGGTAGCATGAACGCTCTTCGAAAACATATGTTCGAAAGTGCTAAATGTTGCATTTTAAATGCAGCAAAAACACACACACATCAGCGTCTCTGGAGTTATTTTAGTTCTTTTGTTATGAATTTCTCTTCTTTCTTGCACAAGACGTCAAAATTATTGTCTGCATGCGTCAAATCATTGTCCGATTTACTGTCTTGAAAATAATCAAGACAGTGATTGAGGCAATTGGAAAAGTATGCATATATTCAGGGCTATCACGGAATCCATCGTAGAAAATCTACGAATCCGAATGCCTGCTACGAATACGAAAAAATTGCTATCACTGAATCCGAGTGAACTCGAAAATATCGTTGCCAGCTTTGAATGCTGATTCGAAATTAGCTAGTGCAAAAGAAATAATAGACATTTACGTATGCCATTTTGCTCACGCTGCCCCAGAAGTCACAATGGCCGAGTGGGCAAAGCACTAGACTGCTAGTTGAGAGATCCGGGTTCGAGTCCGAGTCGTCGGGCAGTGGAGATTTTTTTCTTTTTTTATTTAATTTTTGTTTATTTTTTAATAAATATTTTTTTTTTAGTTTATTTTTAGCTTAGATGTTATTATTTTAAATATAATTTTTTTTTTTAATAAATTTTTATGATATTAAAGTAATTAGGTTTATTTCCTAATAAATTGTTGCTAAACTATTATTTCCTCGATTCATGCAAAATATTAATTCATTAAATAGCGTCTAGCAGGTGAATGCATGTATGTACATATGTATGTATGTATGGCATTGGTATTTTACGTCTACGTTTACACAAATATATGGAATTATATCAAACTATAACAAATTTGGAGTATAATAAATATTTAATATTAAAAATAATGCAGCTTTCGTCCACTATTTTTAAGATTGAGTGATTTTAAATTTTGTTCCGACAGCATAATCTCGTCGTAGAGTATCTGTACGAATCTTCATTACGAACGGATTCAATGAAGGCGCTCTACGAATTTCGAATTTACGTTCGTAGCTATTCGGATTCTATGATAGCACTTTCGTAGATTTCACGAAAATCGAAGCTACGATGGATTCTGTGATAGCCCTGATTAGTGAAAAGGTGTGCATGTATTGTCATGGCAGTATTGCCCGGTGTAAACCCAAAATTAGTTTGCTCTGATGTGGTTACGTCGAGTTACGCACAAGGTTGCACATTAGGTCCATTCCTTATCTTTTCGGACTAAAATCTGAAAAGTGTCAAAATGCAAGAGCTTAAGCAAAATGCGCCCACTAAAAGATAATAACAGGAAAAAGTAAAGAANGCAATTGGAAAAGTATGCATATATTCAGGGCTATCACGGAATCCATCGTAGAAAATCTACGAATCCGAATGCCTGCTACGAANTTAAGCAAAATGCGCCCACTAAAAGATAATAACAGGAAAAAGTAAAGAAAAAGGCAAAAAACCAAATTTTTAGTCCAAAGAATGGCAGCAACAAAACTAACGTCAAATAAGAATAGAAATTATGTACAAAACACATTCACACAAGCACAAGCACAATAAACATTTGGTTGGTTGGTTGGTTGGTAGAAGCGTCGCCGGGGTATGTTCCCAGGACCCAATTAGTGCTGAAAGCACAATTTTGATACGCTTTCTCTGGGACCCCTGATTTTATCTGCTTTCATGATTCGTTGGGTTCGTCAAACCATTTAGATTTACCAATGAATCTATTTAGGTTAGTAATGGTGAATTTGAAAATTTCCCAAAGATTTTGGATGGAAAAACTCCCGAGTGTGATCTGCCTTATTTGTGCCAATGCTGGGCACTCGCAAAGATAGTGAAGGACTGTTTCCTTACTTCCCACAAGATTACAGCTACGGCACCGAGGGTTATACGGAAGGCCCATTCTAGCTGCATGTTCACCAATGGGCCAATGTCCCGTTATCGTGGCTATTAATTTGACTATATCTTTCCTCGACCTCTTGAGAAGTTCTTCTGTCTTTGGCTTGTCCTAGTGCGGCCATATGTACCTCGCAGTTTTGCAGGTTTGAAGGTTGTTCCAACGTGTATCAGCCATACGTGTGAATTGCAGACGCAGTTCCCTTTTGATGAGTCCGAGTGGACAATTTATAGTTTCTGCTTCGGATTCATCCAAAGATGCTTCGCCCTTAGCCAACTCGTCAGCAGATTTCCGTGTATGTTCCTATGGCCGGGAACCCAGCCACTGAGCTTAACGCACATTTGCAATCTCTGACTGTTTTGGATTTTGTTACCGGTGAGGCAAGTACCAGAAGTGCCGCTTGGCTATCTGAGAAAATGTATGCTTTTTGTACACCTACGCAGTTCCTCTCTAGTGCTTTACAGGC